CCCTTCTTCCCCATCTATCCTTTTCTTCCTTCCATTCTTCCTCCCTCTCCCTCCCTTGTTCCTCTAGTTTTTCCTTCCTTTCTGCCTTCTGTCCCTCCCTTCTTCCCCTTTCCTCCCTCCCTTCCCCATCTATCTTTTCCTTCCTTCCCCACTTTCCCTTCCTTCCTCCCTATTCCCTTTTCTTCTTTTCCCTCCCTTCTCCTTTCGTCCCTCCCTTCCTCCCCTCCCCATCTACCCTTTCCTCCTTCCTCCCTCTCCCTTCCTTGTTCTAGTCTTCCCTTCCTATCTTTCCTCCTTCCCTTTCTCCCTTCCTTCCATCCCTCCCTCCCTTCCCCACCTCTTTTCCTTCCTTTCTTCCTTTTCCTTTCCTACCTTGCTTTCATCCTCCCTTCCCTTCCCACCCTCCCTTCTTTCACTCCCTCCCTTTTCCTTTAGACCTTCCCTTCTCCATTTTTTCCTTCCTTCCTCCTTTCTTTCCCTCCCTCCCTTTTCCTTATCCCTCCCATCTTTTCCTTCCTTCCTTCCTTCCTTCCTTCCTTCCATCTCTCCCGCATCTATCCTGATCACACAATCATGGGGATGCTATGACAGTCGTTAAGTGTGAGGATCGGTGCTGTTTGTAACTTTGGTCACTAAATGAGGACGTTGAGGACTACTGAGGTGGCACCCCGTGGCAGGTGTCAAGACCCTCTTCCAGGTGAGCTGGCCTCTCCAAAGGAAATCCACCTTCTTTTCGTCCACAGAAGACAGCGGAACTCCTGGCCACAATCAAATCACCGTCTTTATTTCCAATAAGACTTTGTTTTATACAGCGGCCCCCAAGAGGGGTAGAAATGGGGTCCAGTGGTTGCCCACACCCCCCAAAATCCAGAGTTTTAGCTCCTGCCTGCTCCATTTGGGTTGTTTTTTTTTAAAACTGGTCAGCCCATTGCGAGCTGGGCACTTCACCGAACCAGCCAGTCCCAGGTGCAGAGAAGTGAGAAGGATGGAGAGAGAAAAAGACAAGAAATAGATAGAAAAATAGATGGGGGGGGGAAAAACAGAAATCAGGATGAACAAACTTTTTTGGTGGTTTGGACTAATTTGGGTTAATACAACCCCCCCCACAAGGCTGTATGGCAGAGGTTTTCCAAACTTTTTTTAAGACTTGTGGACTTCAACTCCCAGAATTCCCCAGCCAGCAAATTGCACAACAAAAGCCCACAATTTGTGGACTTCGACTCCCAGAATTCCCCAGTCTGCCATGCTGACTGGAGAATTCTGGGAGTTTAAATCCAGAAATCTTAAAAAGTTGCCAAGTTTGGGGGGGCGGGCGTGGTTTAAACAATGCCACGTGGCACCCTGTGGATTGAAATTCAAATTGTGGGGGGAAAAAATAAAATTATTTTCGTTCTACTTTGGACCTTTAGATTCATGGCTTTATTTTTTTGAAGGCATTCAATAGAATCTTAAGGCTGGAAGTCCAACCCTCCCCCTTGCCCAAAATCCTACCCAACCTCTTCTTAAAATCATCTTTCGTCTTTGTCCTGGGGGATGCCATCCTTCCTGGAGGATGTTAGATTGGCACAAGGGTTAAATCTCTTGCTCGATGGGCATTTAAACCCATAATGAAACCTCTGGGACAAAGTCACCCCAATTGCAAAATTCTCCAGCCTCATCCCTCTCTTATCTTCCTCTTTGGCTTCCAAATTAAAATCTAAATTTTTAAACAATTTCTAGGGATCCCGATGGAGCGGACGGGTGTTCGAAGTCATGTAGGGCATTTGGCTTTGATCTTAATTTTATATATATATATATTTAATGAGAAGAAGCAAAGTTGCCAAGGTAAGTTGATGCAGGTTTGAGTGCTAAAAAGGAATTTTTTCCCCCACCTGCTCCCCAGTAGCAACCAAGACCTATTTAAAATGGTTTAATTAAAACAACGTGCAGCCACCCCAGAAGGCTGAAACGCGGAATAAATAATTTTAAAAAACCCAAATAAATATTTTTGCCATATTATAAGGTTATATTTTGTCATTCTAAAAATTTTTTTTTTGGAAATCTTAAATTTTTAAAAAAATCTTAATTTTTGTATATTGATTACTTTGTACGTT